CATGTCATTTTTTGACAGACATCGATGCTGTGATTTTCAAATAATGTGGATTTGAAAACAGATAAAAGGTAATATTTTGAAAGGTAATAATTTTTTATTTCATAGTATTCAGTAAAGTGATTGATGTACATGATTGTGTTATGTCAATGTTTTTCTGTTCTAATATTCTAACCGACAGTCAGCCTGTATTTGACAGATGTGATACTGTGCCTGAGGGGTGAACTCTTCTTGAATGTGCTGGAGATGTCTGAAATGCTTTATTCTTATTTTATAGAATTAAGTTTATTTTGAGGCTTAGATAAATTACTTATTACTCAGAGACATGTTTGGCATGTCAAAAATGTGACATTGAGCTGTCGCAAATTTAGTGACTTTTGAAATTCAAGTTCATTTTTTACTAGTAAAGGAGTGCTTTTGATGCACAAAGTTGTTTTTATTGTCTCTTATAGCAAAAATCTTTTATTTAAACCCATGAAAATGCAGATCCTGTTGTAAATAATAGTGAAAAACTGACATTATTTTAATATTGATTTTGCAGACTAACAGTCCTTGAAACTTCTGGAATCATGAATCACAGTTATATGCAGGGGCCTTGGGGTAAAAAAAAGGTTGAGAACCACTGCCTTAAAGGGAATTTGGTATCAATGATGCTGTGAGTTCACAGTTGTAATTTGTCATTTATGACTGTTACAGATTTTTTCCAACACTGCACCACAGTAAACACTGCGGAATACAATACACAGTTTGGAAGGAAGAGCAGTAATTTATTACAGTTTAATCTGAGACTGGATTTCATCATCTTGACAGTTTTAGCTCTTGAGAATCAATAAAAGCTGAATATAACATCACATCTTGAAGAGTACGACAAACTAACTCTAAAAATAGTCTAGAGTGGACTGATGTTACAAAAACCAGAGACCAACCAACATCTTGCCTTTCTAAGAAGTGTGATGGAAATCATGTGAAAATACTGAGGTGACAATACTGGGGCTGCAAGTAAAGCTCTACTGGATAATGTAAAATTCTCGGATGACAGTCTGCTAATCTTTCAGACTTTTTCTTTTGTTTTGCGAAAGATTAATCTGTTAGTCATAGGGTCACTGTCAGGAAATGCAGACGTTTCTGTGCTATGACTGATGTTGATGAACAGCATACTGAAGTATACTTAGTAAATTCTGTATTCAATTCTGTTTAATAATTTATAATAATTAATAATAATTAATAGATTAGATTAATAGATAGATAATTAAGTTAGAGTGTATATGTAAAAAAAATATGAACTGGAATGGAATATTAGCCATTTTTTATTGAATTTATTGAAATATCATGCTTGCACATGTAGTTTTCCCCAAATCATTTAGTTTTCCCTAAAGTTTGTCTCTTATTTTCTGTTTAACCCTGTTATGCTCATAAACACATTTCATTACACCAAATACACAAAATAATGTTCTTTTTAGCAGCATCATATGACCCCTTTAAAACCTACTTTGATGTTTATGATATTATATTTAGAGAGTGACATAAAAGTAGTCTTGATCACATGGTTCAAACAGAGGCAAGTTTCTCTTGTAATCTTTGTCAGTTTTACTTATATTGGCCTCACCGTATGTGAACTTGTCAAAAAGTTCAACTCTGTTATGGGGATAAATAACAGTGATAAATACTTGGAGAAAACTGACTGTAAATTATGTGCTATGTTCCAGTATATGCTGGCTAAGATCTTCATTAGTCTTCAACCCCATACAATTCAAACCCATCACAATATACTGTAATTCTGAAAACTTTTTTATTTTATTATTATTATTATTATTTTTTTTTTCTACAGCAAGAATGTGACCTGACAATTCAGACAACTGGTGTAGTCCTTATTTATTGACTTACAGCTGCTTCAAATTGGAATTGATGTATGAGCAAAACCTGAAATTCCTGCAAACATTTACTGACCCAATGATCCAAACCTGTATGAGTTTCTTTGGACATAAAAATATGTCTTTTCAGAAATGTATCAGTGTTTTCTAATGCAATTGAAGCAACCAAAGCTGTTTGCTTGATGCACACCAGAGACAGATCCCCTGTGAAGAACTTTTCACCTCGACGTCCATCGGCACAAGACCACGGGAACCAGACGAGTCCTCTGCACAATCTGACTTGTGTTGCAGCCTGGAATTAAACCACACCATGCTGGTTTCATCTGGCCAGAGGAGAACTGGCCCCTCGACTGAGCCTGGAGTCTCCCAAGGATACTGTAAAGCTGCTTTGATACAATCAGTATTGTATAAAGCACTATATAAATAAAGGTGTCACGCCCCTGGACTCATTCTGTGTGTTTTTCCCATGTCTCATTGTGTTCAGGTGTTCCCATCTAGTCCTCATCTAGTCATGTGTATTTATAGTGAGTCCTGTTCCATGTTCCTTTGTCTGGTATTGAATGTTCATCTTTCCCCGCAACGTGTTCCTAGTTCCGTTGGATGTCAATTAAAGTCTCTTTGTTTGAAGTCAACTCCACGTCTCCTCGTTCCTCGCTCCGTGCTCCTCACAGTAGCGGTTCGTGACAGAATACCAGACCTATCAACAGTTTAACTGCGTGTTTCCCTCTGTTTTTGTTTCCGCATTTTACCCAGTGCTTTTTGCTTCCGTTGTTCCCTATGGATCCCCTCGCCCGCCCAGAATACCTCCTCCTCCTGCTGGAGCAGGGGGAGCGATCGCTCGAGGGCCATACCAGACTGTTCCTGGTCCTCGCGAGTCTCACAGCTACCCGGACGACGCCAGTTTGAACATCGCGTGCAGAGCGCCGTCGTCCGAGGATGGTCCTCGAGTGAATTTCACCACCTTTGTGGAGTGGACACTGGCGAGAAACGGATCTCCGTTCCCCGTCTGTTCCCAAGAGAATTTCGCCAGTTCCACTCCCGACCCAGGGCCCAGCCCACCATCTCCCCGCTGCGCAGAGCATCAGCCCGAGCCCACCGTTTATGGAGAGCCTGAGCTTGCCACGGCCGACGAGACATTGCCGCATGGAGCGACAGAGCAACGGATCGCCGCGGAGCCGGAGCTGCAAGTGACGTGAGTCAAGATGTGAGAGCCGGTCACGAGGGAGAATGCCGCGGACAGAGAGAGCGCGGAGTGGAGCTCCGCCCCCTGCACCATGGCTGAGGGTGAGCTGAGTAAGGATTTGGGAGAATGCAAAGCGGAGGAAAACTTAATTGACTTGTTTACCGACCTGCCCCCTCCTCCTCTGTCGGTGAACTCTATCCCTCCCGTTCCTGAGTTTAGCCCCGAGAAAGTTCCTGTTCCCATGTCTAGCCCAGAGAAAGTTCCTGTTCCCATGTCTAGCCCAGAGAAAGTTCCTGTTCCCATGTCTAGCCCAGAGAAGGTTCCTGTTTCCATGTCTAGCCCAGAGAAGGCTC